CTCCTGGCTGGGGTCCTGGTTTCCTCCCTCGGGAGGGCGGCTGGGTTCCTCCACAGGCTCGGAGCGGGGTCAGGTGGACGAAAAGGGGCAGAGGCCAAGGTTGAGGTTTGAACCCTCTCTGGGCGGGGCGGAACCCTTGTGTGGGGACCATGTTGGAGGTAGGAACAGGCCCCGCGCGAGGTTGAGGATTAGGACGCATCCCATAGGATGCTCACCAGAAACTTTTCTACCTGCATCTGACCTCTTCCGAGACAGTTTCTTTTGGCCAACAGGAGAATCCACTAGGAAATGTGCGACAGTCTCATTCCAAAAATAATCTGGGCCTCTGGACTTTTGATTACCACCATTCTGGATACTTCCGAAACACCCATCCTGCCTCTGACTAATCCTAGCAGTTTCACCGGCCAACGGAAAGGAGCTGAGAAAAGTTAGAAGGTTCCCACTATGCTTTTGGTAATCACTGGTAATTGCTTGTTGGGGCTTAGGGTTCTATTAGCAACCCACTTGCACCTTTTCCGTGGACTGTTTCTCTAGCCCTCTGTTTCTGCTGAGTGCCCTGGGCCCCTAAGCAGAGGAAGATGAGCTGAAGTCTTGATTTTCTTTTCTCATCTCAGGTTACATACAGCCTCAACAGCTCTGACAATTCTTCCCTGCTACCTACCAAGAGTCAGAGTAGTTTTGGAGGCTCCCCTTATACATCGTGAGGGACTCCTTTACCAGCTGTGGGCAAGCAGTATGTGTTACTGGTTTGTTTTTACATGTAGCAAATCACCCAGTAACCTACTAGCTGAACTCAAGTTATCAAAAGCTTTCTGTGGGTGAAGGTGGTACAGTTCAGTTGCGCTGACTGATTTCTCTTGGTCAAAGTAAGTCCTCAGACCAACTCACATAAAACGGGAAACAAAGACTTGATCAATTTAGGAATGACTTCAAAGAACTTGTGAGTTAGTAATCCACTACAAGATAGGCTAGGCTTTGTCAAGGGGCTGGATCTTGATTCCGCACCTATATCTGTCCAGTGGCTCCTGAGACCCTGAGCTTACTTCAGGGTCTCTCTCAAATGAGGTTCAGGAGGTAATGGTAGGAGACACTGTACGCAAACAGTACAATTGGGTGAAAAGAAATGGCACTATTAAAGACAAATTCAAAATGAAAGTTTTAGGACAGCAACTACAAAGCAATGGAATATATAAATTTCAAGTGTCAAGATTAAATCATTCCAGTGAAACGTAATCAAGGGAAGAGGAAGCACAATGAGACAAACGAGGTATCAGAGATGATTCCAAATTTATTGCTAACTGCATTACATAAAATGGACTAAATGTTCCAGATAAAAGAAAATTGTTAGTCCAAAGTTTTCAAGTACTCAGATATTTTAAATCTCTAGCTAAAATATGTATAAAAAGACATCTGGGCACCAAAGGTAGCTCAGTGGAAGAGCAAATGGTTAGCATGCCTAAGTCCTTGGTTTAACCCCATCACCCAAAACAAAGAATAAGAAAGAAAATAAAACCAATTCAATGTGGCCATACAAATACCTAACAATTAATGGAACAGAAACATAATAAAATGATTAAAATTCTCTTCCCCCCCCCAGTACTGGGGACTGAACCCAGGGCCCTTGTGCATGCTAGGCAAGCACTCTACCACAAATGACATTCCCAGCAAAAGGGTTAGTTTTCAAGATTACAAGAAAAATCACAAACCTGGCTTAGAAAAGTCAGTGATAGTCAGTGGTAGTGCACTCACTGACTACACAAAGGCACTGGGTTGACTCCCCAGCACCACAATCAAAAAAAAAAAATCACAAAACAGAACACTTTCTGTCAAGACAAACACAAGAGAAAGAATGCACAAATTGTTCCAGAATGCAAAAGAGGCCTAAAATTATACAACCAGAAATGTTAAAAATATAACTAAAAATATATAAATTTTTGCTGCACACATTAGCATGCTTAGGAAAATATACTCAAAATGCTTTATGATTTTAGAAACCTAAGTTTTTGTATTACCATAAAAGAAATTGAGCAAATAGCTTAAAATCACAGAAATGGGATACCTAAGAAGATAGTTACTCTAAATCTGGCTAATATGAACAAGTTACAATTTGAGGACAAATGGGGAAAACAACCCTGTGAGGTATGATACTGTCAGAAAGTTCATTTTTAAAATTTTAATGGTACTGGTTCCTGAACTCAAGGCCTTGCACATGAGCTTTCTACCTCTGAGCTACATCCATACATCTTGGGGCGGGAGGTGCTGGAGACAGCACCCAGGACCTCCTGAATGCTAAGCAAATGCACTACCATGGAGCTACACGCTTAGCCCCTCCCTATTTGGTGGTACCCAAGGCTTTCATACTAAGTTACATCCCCAGACCTTTTTTTAAAAAAAAATTTAGGGCTGGGGATGTAGCTTAAGCACAAGGACCCAAGTTCGATCCCTGGTACCAAAAACAAAACAAACAAAAATAAAAAAAATTTATGTTGAGACAGGGACTTGCTAAGTCACTAATTTGCCAAGCCTAAGCTTGAATTTGCAATCTGTTTGCCGCAGCCTCCCAGAGTACTTGGTATTACAGGGGTATACTGCATGGCTTTTTTGTTTTTAATATAAGTAAACTTACTTGCTGATGTTACTTAAATATCTACAAAAGGCTTTAATAGCACATTAGTAAACCTAATCAGTAAGGATGTCCAAGTTGAATTTATCTAGGAATCCATAGTTAACATTAGGAAATAAAGAATAAAAATCAATAATGGCCACATTTAAGTCTTTTAATTCATGCATAAATTCAAATATTTATTATGTATTATGGCCCAGTTGCAATTCTAGGTAGAGTCACAGTGAATGAGTATGATTATGACAAAGGGCCTGGTGTGATGGTGCACATCTACAATCCCAGCACTTTGGAGACTGAGGCAGGAGGATTGCTGTGAGTTCAAGGTTGGCCTGAACTACATAGTGAGGTCCTGTCTCAAAAAAAGTAAAAAATAAAAAAATCACGCAGAGAAAGCAACTAAATCCAAAAGGAATTAAGCCCCATAAATTACGATATTGGGAAACATCTAACTATCAAAATTGTGTATTTAAAAAAAAAATCTAGCCAGGGAATTAGCTCAGAACCTGCCTTACATGAACAAAGTCCCGAGTTCAATCCCCAGTACCAAAAAAAAAAAAAAAAAAAAAAAAA